TAGAATCATCTATACAAGACTTACTCAAAGTATCATCAATCTCATCGCCAGATGAAAAGCCAATACATGAGAAATTACAAAATGACGACTCAATCTTGTCTGAAATTTCGGAAATATTCCCCTTTGTATCAAAAAAGATAATTCTATGCTCATCGATAAGAATCTCATCTAACACATCTTCAACAACAATATCGGGAACAACAACGAAATCTATCAAGGAATTTTTGGAAATCTCTTCACTATTGATGCAAATCATATGGCTAAAAATAAATAAATGGAAATTAAATTCCTTCAGCGGGAATCGAACCCGCGTCTCAACGGCCACAACGTTGCACTCTAACCCCTGAGCTATGAAGGACAAATTAGGGCATAATATGGGTTTTATAATCATGTATATTATTGGGAATTTCATTGCCAGTATTGTAAAATGAGAATGCTGTAGCTATAGTCGTTATTTAAGAGTACAAATATGGTTTGTCTACAATCAACTATATAAATAGTATTAGCATCTGACCAGTGATATATAATGTATACCAAAATGATAATAAATCATTAATATAATGAAAAAAATATCTAAAGATGCATTCCCATTTATGCCAACATGATGAATCATGTTAGTTGTAAAAAACTCATATTTTAAGCTATATCATGCTAGTTGTTTTTGTTCTCCAATATAATTTATAGTATTCTACACAATAAAAATTTTCTTTAACGTCTAATCTTTTCTAGTTAAACTTGTCAATTTTTTGTAAGAATTTGTTTCTTCATCCAACTTTTTTGATAAGTATACGTTAACTAGCAGTGTTTTTTGTAAAATATCATATATACAATTATTGATATACTCAAAACATTTGAACAGATAATGCTCAAAAAGGTTAATATTTGTTTGTGATTTTTCTGGATTGATATTTAAATAACTATTCTACAAAATTTTGATAATTGTTTGTTTTCAGAAGCAATTTCTAGTCCTCATCAACAATAAAATCTTTAGTTCTATAACCACTTATGATCTGATGTAATAAATCAATATTATAATTATTTGCTTTTTTTCTTACCCATAATGACTGATCAGACAGTAACACCATGGATGGTAGAAGCAGGTAAATCTGAGGATGGATCAATGCAGAGTATCAATTATGATCATGTAATAACCCAGTTTGGCTGTCAAAAGTTTGAGAGCCACTTTATCGATGAAATTGAAAATCTTACTGGGATGAAACCCCATAGGTTTTTAAGAAGAGGTCTCACTTTTGCACACCGAGATTTTGATAAAATCATCGAATGCATTCGAGAAAAAAAGAAATTCTTCCTATATACAGGAAGAGGCCCTTCAAGTAAAAGCATGCATATTGGTCATAGTATCCCTTTTGTATTGTGTAAATATCTCCAAGATGCTTTTGGATGTCCTTTTGTTATTCAAATGACTGACGATGAGAAGTTTTTATTTAAAAATATTACATTGAGAGAGGCTATAGATAATGGACATGAAAATATGAAAGATATAATTGCATTTGGATTAAATCCAGACCTAACATATATGTTTTCAAATTTTGAGAGTTCTCATTTATTTAAGGAAAACATTCTCAAAGTTGCCAAATTGATTAATCTAAATGAGGCTTTCAAGGTATTTGGATTTGACATGACATCTTCTATAGGAATGATAGAATTTCCAGCTAAAGAAATTGCTCCAGCATTTTCTAGTTCTTTTGAATTTTTACCTTCTAAAATGCCATGTTTGATACCCTGTGCGGTTGATCAAGATCCATATTTCAGACTTGCAAGAGATAAAGCAAATTCTCTTGGTGAGCTTAAACCAGCTTCGTTGTATGTCTCATTACTACCAGATTTGAATGGTGTCAATAAAAAAATGAGTGCCTCTGATATCACTTCATCTATCTATCTCACAGATGATCCAAAGACAATAGCAAATAAAATAAAAAAGCATGCTTTTAGTGGAGGTCAAGAAACCCTTGAACTTCATAAACAATTAGGCGGAAATGTGGAGCTTGATATACCTTTTCAATATTTGAGATATTTTTTGGAAGATGATGAAGAATTAGAAGAATTGAGACGAGGATATATTAGTGGAACAGTATTTAGTTCAGACATGAAGAAGAAATGCATTGAAGTGGTTCAAAAATTTGTCCATGAATTCCAAGAAATGAGAAGCAAGGTAAATGACAAAGTTATTAACCGTTTTAAAAGTATCAGTAAATTTAAAGAAGAAGCCATACTTAAGGCTTTACAAAATTGCACCATTGAAGGGAAGAAACATTAAAATTAAACTTCTATATATGAATTAAAATAAACAGTGAGTTTATCATTTTCATGATTAGGTGAGACTATATAGTTTTATTATCTTTGTTAATATTATTTAATTATTTGGAGTTTTTTCTAAACAACTCGATATTTTTTAAAATTTGTTCGTTTGACAACTAAAAATACTACTGTGATTATTCGAACCATTTGTCATCAATTTTTGTTATAAATTTCATATATGCATTTTTCTCACCACATATTAAGTGATCAAAGACTAGACGCTCTTTGTTTACAATAATAGAGTCTTTGGACACGAGAACATCGCCTCCATCATACCAATAATCATTGCCTGACGATATAGAAAGATGGTCACTGTAGGAATAATAAATTGTTTTACAAATATTATCAATTCTATCTTCAGATAATAGTATGTGCAAACTAGTATTTTTTCCTCCAATTCTAAGAAGATACTTTGAAAGTTTTTCGATTTCAAGCATAGAATTAAATCCTATCGCCATTTTTTTACAAAATGAAAGTCTTTTGGAAGAGCAAATGAAGTCTTTAAAAATCTTTAAAAACACAACGAAGTCACTTTTCTGATTAAAATAATATTCTGTCTGGGAAGTTCTTTTCAATTCAAACCCCACAGATAGCATTGCAACAATCACACATAATTCTGAAAAAATATTTTCTATTCCATTCATACAAAGAATTTTACCTAATCTTGGAGAAACAGGAAAATTTGAAATTTTTATGCCAAACTCTGTGATGTCGTTCAATGAATTAAGTGCAACTAAGTTTTGAAGATATTCAAGGGAATCGGAAATTGCATCTTTAGTGGGTAGGGATATGAAAGGAAATGAGTTTATATCCGAAATCCCCAGGGCTTTTAGAAATAATATACACCCATTAATCGATTGAATTTTAATTTGAGGAATATTATTTTTAATCATATTTTCAAATGTTTCTCCACTGAAAATTCTAAAGCATACCCCAGGGCCCGTTCTCCCTGCTCTACCCATCCTTTGTCTAGCACTGCTCTGACTTATAAGTCCTATCTGATATTTTACACACCTAGAGTTGTCAAACTTGTATTTAACTCTACCAGTATCAACAACAAAAACAATATCATCTATCGTAATGGATGTTTCGGCTATATTTGTTGATAGAACTATCTTTCTTTCAATATATCTCCTGTAAACCTTATTTTGATCTTCTTTAGCTAGTCCAGAATGTAAAGGCAAAACTATAATGTCTCCAACAGATGAGTCATCCAGCATTGATTTAAGTCTATAGATATCATCTTTGCTGGGTAAAAATACCAAAATTGCAGCTGTAGTGTCATTTACGATTTCATAAGGAATCTCAAGCTTCTTCAGCTTTTTCTTTTTAGAATTTTGAGAATTCAAAATGGCCATGACTTTATTAAATGTTTCTAAAAGATAATTTTCAGTGGTTCTTGATTCATAAAAAACATTTACTTTAAACGAATTTGGTTTTAACACCACAGTTGAATAATGGCCCAATATTCTTCTAAAAGAATCAGCTTCTAAATCTACGGTAGCACTCATTAAAATCAGTCGTAGAGGATTTATCTTATATCGAAGATACACAACTTTACTCAAAAGTCCAATCAACAAATCCATATTTGAGCTTCTTTCGTGAATTTCATCCAAAATGATCACCGAGTATTCCTGTAATAAAAAATCAGTTTGTATTTCACGAAGTAAAACCCCTTCTGTGACAATTTTTATTTTTGTTTGATCTGTTAGATTGTTTTCATATTTTATTTTATACCCACTAATCTTTTCATTTGCTTCAGTATTTATTCTGTCTGAAATAGAAATTGCAGAAATTCTTCTAGGCTGTGTAATACCAATAAACCCATTAGTAGCAAACCCATTTTCAACCAAAAATTGTGGAATCTGTGTAGTCTTGCCACATCCAGTATCACCCTGGATTAAAGTAATCAATGATCTTTTAACTTGTTGGATTATTTCAAATTGGTCATAGAATATTTTTAACTCACTTCTTTTTTCCTGGATTAATTCTACTCGATTGGAAAATATAACCTGAGAAAATGATTCGGAATCTAGTGGAAGTATATACTCAGCATTTAAAGATAGGCTTTTATTGCTTGCATTTGAAAGAATATTTGTGAAATTTCCAATGAATAACTTAGGTTTATCACTCATGTTCAACTCAATATCATCATTGTAGTTGTTTTTAACATCATCCTGGTGATAATATTCAACAACTTCGTTAAGCTTTGTTGGATCTTTGGGATTAGTCTCTATAAAGCTATCTTTTATGATTTCACCAGAAAGACTTTTTGTCCCCTTCAATGAAACATCCTTTTTAACAACACCAACATGACTATTCTTACAATCTCTTTCTATTCCTATATCTTTAAATAAGTCCTTATCTATACTTTTGGACTGTTTTTTCCGAGTTTTGATTTTTGTTTTTATAAGTTTGTTGTTTCCGGTTTCTTTTGTTAAATTTTTGATCTGTTCTAACAATTCATCCCTTGTCTTTTGCTTCTTTTTTTTCTCTAAATATTTTTGTAACAGCTCTTGCTTTTTCGAAGTTTTCATATTAGCGGCTAAAATATTTAAACATCATTGAAAATATCCAAGGAATGTAAAATCAAACCAAATAGACCTCATTAACAGAAACCACCAAAAGTCTGGCTTAAACAAAGCATATTGAAAATATTTCATGGGTTTCGAATTTATTAACTATGCCAAGTTGGACTCACTTCTAATATATTCTCCATTATCAGCCTGGCGAAGAACAATAATATCTCCACCTCTGGCACGAGAATATGATATGGAGTTAACAGCCAGCAAGCCAAATCCTAGAGGAATATCATTCTGGTCGTATACGAACACTCCAGCATTCATGGGAATTGACTCAGATATCCTATGAATATGGCTTCTCAAAGCATTATTCCCATATAGGAAGTTCATTTCAGCTGAATGTTTGATCCACACCTTGTAAAGACCGAATTTGTGAAGGGGATGGAATGCTGTAACTGTGATCTTAAAATTATCAGTTTTTGTAAATTTCCCGATAATTGATCCTGCGGAAATCAATTGTTTTCTACCAATTTGGGAGCACGCTTTAAAAATTGAATCTGAAATCAAGAAAACCCGTTGGTTATTCAGCATTAATTTTTTCCTATCTAAAAGATCTTTCAGATTATCCCCTACAAAGGATACCAACTTTGCATTAACTTTTTCCATTTCTGCATCGCTTAGAGGTCTCATTTTACCGTCAAAAAATTTATCAAAAAAGACACAAAAATTTTTTGAGGGTGTATTATCAAATAGGGAGAAATAAAATGTTGGAAACAAAATATTAAAAATAGTATTTAAACTATTTTTGTTCAATAAGAATTTATCTATATCATCAATGTATTAAAATCTTGTATGATGTAGCATGGTGGTTTATACTAGAAAGTAAAAAATCAAGAGGCTAATAACATTATTCCTTCACTATGCTCAATATCAATTTATTGTGAGTTTGAATTTTTCAAAATAATTTTTTAAAAAATTTATTCACCCACAAATGGCCGGCCAAGATAAGAAATCGAGAAGACTTAGAGGAAAGGTAGCACATGGATATGGTAGAACCAATAAGCACAGAAAACACTCTGGTGGTCGTGGTAAGTGTGGAGGAGTGAAATTTATGAAAACTTGGTTTCAAAAATATCATCCAGACCATTTTGGAAAGTATGGTATGAACGTATATCACACAAAGAAGAATGCAACGTGGGCTAAACAGATTTCTGCAGCTAGATTATGGAGCTTGATTCCAGAGGAACAGAGAAATACAATAATTCAATCAGGTGATGTTCCGGTCATTGATGCAAGGGAATTCGGATACCATGTAGTTGTAGGTGGTAAACTGCCATTGGAAAAGTCACTTATTGTTAAGGCAAGATATTTTACAAAAAACGCCGAGGCTGAAATAATGAAGTTTGGTGGAAGAGCTATTATCTCTGATTAAATTATTTAGAGAAAGTTTGATTTATTGTTTGAAAGAAAAAGCATTTTGACCTGGATATTTTTTTAATTCAATGAAAGAGAAATTAAGTTGTGTTGTACCATCTATTAACAATCTGATAATGTTTATCTGCAAATTTTGTTTAACTCTCAAGAAATAGGATTGTAATTATAACAACCCCATAATTAGTTTCTTCATGCAAAATATTTAATATTGAGAATACTTTAGATTGAGTTTTTCCAATTAATCTTCACATACAATAATCATTCTGTTTGTGTATTTTTAGCATAATAGTTACCAATTTCTGTTTAATCTGTTGTAGTTGTTGCAGTCTCCTTTCTTCAAAGTTAAAAATTGTCACCCTTTTAATGCCGTCCCGAGTTGCCAATCAATCAATCAATTTTATTGGAATTAAAGAATCTTCAATGACTTACAATGTTATTTTAAATATTTTCACTCTTGGAGCATTCTATACAGCTTGTAGATTATCAAAATGGTTCAGACTTCACTTTCAGTTCATGGAATGTAATCTGGAAATAGCTGACTATGTCATACTGATGGATCAATATCAGAACACCGAAATATACCCAATATCCCAAATTAGAGTTAATTCAACATTGGGGCTAATCAGATATATTTCTAACTACCATGTTTCAGAATATATCAATGAGGGCAAAATACCATTTTTCGTTAGAATCTTAGATACTCCATACTCTCGATTTATCTACGATTATAAACTACAGCTATTTGTTTCCCCACCATTTTCAATACCACATATTAAAAATGTAGATGAATATATTCATAGCCTGCTCCAAAGACCTCTTTCCGATGAGATGAAAGAACTTTATGAAAAGAGAATTATTTACGGAGGAAATAGTCCAAAGATTATTCCTATCACATTGCTAGAAATTGTAGATAAGGCATGTTTTGATATTATTTTTATATGGGAGATGGTCTCAGTAGCAATCTGGATATCTATAGACTTTTATGCTTATGCCATGGTTACCGGAATGATTTTTTTATTCGCATTTTTGAAGGGTATATATGATGAGTATGCTAATAGGGATGTTCCTTCTGAAGTTACCAAGGTTAGGGTATTTCGAGAAGGCACATTTAGAGACGTTGATGAAGATGATGTGTTTCCGGGCGATATTGTTTATATTGACAAAACCGATAATTTTAAGTGTGATGTGGAAATATTAAAGGGTGATGTGATTACTGATGAAAGTTTTCTGACGGGAGAAACCGTGCCTATTTGTAAAGGAATCGACCAACATGTATACTCAGGAACGAAGGTTATTAGAAGCTCGTCTATTGAATACTTGAGAGATGATTCAATCTCCTCTAAAAGTATGCAAAAAATGGTGAAAGTTCGAAATCTGTTTTCAAAAGAAGAACCTGTTCTAAAAAACCACGATAATGTCTGTGATAAGGTTTCCAAAAGCTTTGGTGATAAAGAAAGACAAATTAATTCTTCAGCTATTGGAATTGTAGTAAAAACCGGTAGACATACAAAAAGAGGTAAATTATTGCAAAATATGCAAATTAAAAGTCAACCTATAAATGTTTTTGAAGAACAAAGTAGAAGAATCAGTACCAATTTAATGCTGGCCTCAGGAATTATTGTAATACTTTATATTATTTATTTGTCAATATACCTTGAAATAACAAAGGTTTTGGAATTTTGTTCTGATTTATTTATGACGCTTTTTTCTCCATCATTGTATACGTGCTTGAAATTGGGTGTAATTCATGCTCAGAATGCCTTAAAAAAAGTAAATATTAAAACAACAGATAGGAAAAAAATCACAATGGCAGGAGAGGTTGATGTAGTGATTTTTGATAAAACAGGTACTCTTACTGAAATTGGTTTGGATATTTTACTTTTGGATTGTATAGATAGAATTGTTGAAGAGTTTTCAGAGCTGTCAAATATTTTAAAAATAGGAATTTCTTCATGCCATTCTGTTTTGGAATTGGATGGAGAATACTCCGGTGATATATTGGATATGAAAATGTTTTTATTTTCCAATTCTAAGATATACATGGATGGTAAACAAAGAGTAATCAAATTTGATCAAGATACTCACAGTGAGTTTAATGAACTGTGTAGAGAATACAATAATGAAAAGTACTTAGATTCAATAATAGATCATCATCAAGAATACTCATCCGGAAATTATCCAAAAATTGAGCCACAATCATTTTTGGCCGATGATTATGGTTGTAACTATCAAGATAGACACGGTGTAGTATCCAAAGAGAATGATATGGATAGTTATACAACATATTTAACAACTGAAGCTAGCAAATCAAGAAAGAGAAAGGATAATAGATGGCACAAGTTGCATCATAAAACCAATGAGACAACTAAATGTATAAAATTACAGAGAAAAAGGGCATTTAATGAGAAAATAGTTTCTGTTAGTTTATCCCCCACAAACCAAATTGAAAAATCATCTGATAATAATTACCAATCTAGTCAATTATTAGAAGGAAATCAGAAGAAATTCCCATTATCAGGTAGGAAAAGCATGTCATCTAATGAAAACAATTCTGAAACAAACTCAATCTTAACCACTGCACAAGTTGAACACTTGGATGAAAAGCTACCCAATGTACACGACCATAAATGTCTACAAAACAATTACTATTTAAAAACCGTATTCAATACAGCATCGGGTAAGTTACAAAATGAACCCGAGTTAAGTGGGGAGATAGAAGTTATAAAAGTGTTTGAGTTTAATTCATTTTTGAAAAGAATGAGTGTAATAGTTCAACTGAAGAGTGGTAAGCGGTACATTTTCTGCAAGGGTGCATCCGAATGTATCAAAAGAATTCTTAAAGAAATCCCACCAAATTACGATAAAAAGACTCAAGAATATGCAATTTCTGGACACAGAGTAATTACGATGGCTTACAATCACATTCTTGATGATGATATTGACATTGAAAATATTCATAGAAAGGACTTGGAGAAAAACCTAATCTTTGGTAGTTTTATAGTCTTTGCTAATAAATTGAAGATAGAGACGGAAAATGTCATTTCAGAATTAAATGGATCTACTATTCAAACACGAATGTGCACAGGAGATAATATTTTAACAGCCATCAGTGTAGCCAGAGAATGTTCTATGATTTCAAAAGATATTCCAGTTCTATTCCCGGTGATAGAGGACAATGCAGCATCATATCTGGATGCTGATTGGTTATGTGTTGCAGATGAAAATCTTGTTTTTGATAAAGTTAAAATGTGTCTATACTCTGAGTTTGATAAAAATACAGAATGTGAGTTTGTTATTGCCATAGAGGGAAAAGAGTATGAAGCATTTAAAGAAACAATTTATCATTCGTTCATTATTAACAAGGGAATAATTTTTGCTAGATTTAATCCTGATAACAAGAAAGAATTAATAGAGGATCTGGCCAATGCAGGGTTTACCACTATGTTTTGTGGAGATGGTGCTAATGATTCTGGTGCGCTTTCTGCTGCAGATGTAGGGCTATCCTTGGCTAATAATGAGGCGAGTCTTATTGCACCGTTTAACTCACCATATTTACATTCAGTTTTGGATTTGATAAAGGAGGGTAGATCAGCTTTGGCAATGAGCATCAGTCAGTTCAAGTATATATTCTATTCGCAACTATTAGCTGGTATTCAGATGGCTGCATTACTCCCGTACTTATATTTTCCTTCAGATTATATGTCACTCCTAAATGATCTACTATCTTGCTACATTCTTGGATATACACTAAGTATGTTTAAGCGTAATGATATTATCTATAATCGAAAGATCAAAATTGATTTAGCTGGAGATTGTTCAATGATTTTGCTTGAAATGACAGGGATTTTCCTGGTTTATTGTACTACTCTTTATTTCTGCCATGATGATCCTGCAATGAATGAAATTAAGATTGAAACCAAGCATTCCACAGTTCTCTTCATAACTACTTTGTTTTTATTTATTTACAAAGCATTCTTTTTTGCCAATTTTGGACCATATAGACAGCTAAGAAGTAGAAATGGCATATTTTTAGGAGTAATGTTTGGATCTCTTCTTGTTTTTGCAAGTATAGTTGCATTTATTTGGAATAATTGTGAATATGTGATGGAGTTGTTTGAATTTGCTGAGTTGGGTAAAACTGAATATAAGATTATGTTTTACTGTTGGTGTTCAACAGCGACGATTACATTTTTGTTTAATAGATTGAAGAATATTAAATCGACATAAACGAA